CGTAAACAAAGTAGTCAAAATTGTGAAAAAACAACTAGCCTTGGCTGACGATTGTAACGTCAGTGGAGAGTCAACATTTGCTACGCTTGGTGCTGATTCTCTTGACACGGTAATTCTTTCGCTCTTGCTACGAAGTTATAATTACAAAATCTATATTATTTAGGGAAAAAAATGTTAGAAGTTATGTTTGTCCCACATCGATTAGTTATTGGGCTGTTATTGTGTAGAAGTGTCTGTTGGGCACCCTCCATTTTGAACTAGTTTGTTGGGTTAAGTTCTACCCAGGCTAATTTATGGAAAAACACAGAAGTCAGAACCCCCTCATGTTTACAGGTGATACAAAATGCCACCGTCAACAGACCCAAGAGGCTATTAGTCTAATATTTTGTTACATTTTTTTAGCTAACATAGTATTCTGACTAAAAATCTTATGTTTTTTTTTTAAACTAATAGCCTTATTACCTGGGTATTCACATCTTTTGTTTGCTTGCTGATCAAGGCATCAACCTATATATAACTTACCACCAATATTAGCTAACTTCCATAAAATTAAAACCTTGGTTACCATAATTATGACTTATTAAGATTTTCATCATATTGGGCACTGCATTTCTATCAAAATCTTCCCATTTAAGCATGTTTTTTTAATATGCCACACATAATGATGATACTTCACAAATAGTTATCTTTCTTGATGATGTTGCGCCAATCATTAACGTTGTTGTGTCTATTGGGACTACTATGGGATGAATAGGGTCCCTTTTTACGAGCTTTTATATTTATACATGATATGATGTTCAAACTCTCCTTCCTACTCAATGAATACATAGCTTTTAGTTTTTACTCTTAAGTATTTATTCTTCAAACATCATGCAGTTGCGGTTGGTTACTTTCCACCCTGCAATATTCAGTTACTGCTGCAACAAGATATATCTTTTCATATATATATGATTGTCTTGTTTGATTTTAAATATTTCTTAGTCGTAGTACAGCATACACAACTGTTACTTGAAAATTTTATACTTAAAAATTGAAAAAAAAGGTTAAAATATTCAAATATTTTGTAATGCTTTTTTATTTTAATTAATTGACACCTTGTAAGACTCACTTGTTCTATATTAACATAATTTTTCATATAATAGGTATGATAGATAAAATTTATTTAATTAATAAATAATAATTTCATTTTCCAACTAGAATTGATTTAAAAACTTATTTGTAATTTATAAAGGTGGATATATATTTTTTTTTGGATCATGATTAATTTGATATATCGTATATGGAAAAATGATAACAAATAAAAAAAATTAGTAAGTTTTAAAATATATTTATAATATAAGTTGACAAATGCTTTATAATTCTAAAAGTTCTTAATTATTAAAAAATTCAAATGAGAATGGATAAAATGAATCTACATGAACTACTCGGAAACACCAGAATTTGACATATAGTATTAAAATAATATTTAAAATTAAATAATTAAAGTTGATTTAATGTAAAAGTGAGAGAGATGTAATTTGAAATGATGGTTAGTTAAAATTATGTGAGTGAGAATAGTTAATTAAAGTTGATATGATGTGTAAGAATGATTGGTTGATATTATAATTATATTGATAATATTGATGATAATGGAGTTGAGTCAAAGTTGAGTTAAAAAAATGGTTGTGTTAAAAATGTTGGGATTTTTTTGAAATTGATTTGTATCCAAGCATTAATAATTAATCTTTCTTCTACCAATTTTGAAATCCTGAGGCATGAGGATGAAGAGAATATGTTTCTGACTTATCCATGCAATCAAAATCTTGATCAAAAGTGACCTGCTAATTTGGCTTAGCTAGTATCAGGTTTTTTTGTAAGGCTAGTTGATATTTTGATAAATTTTATTTGGTTAGGTTGAGATTGTGATGGGACTCGAGGAGGAGTTTGGAATTTCTGTGGAGGAAGAAAGTGCCCAGAGCATAACCACCGTTCAAGATGCGGCTGACCTCATTGAGAAGCTCTTGGAGAAGACATGTTAAACTAGATTTTGAAAGAAAACTAGTTGTAGACTATGTTTCTATTGCAACTTTTCATCCGCGTGTTTTGGGTAAGTACTTTTCACAAGGGAACTTGTCTTAAGTTATTCACCATGTTGGTTTTTTGTTTTTCAAGTTCGAACTCTTGAGATGCTAGTTTGTTGTGTTCTTCTTTTTTATGTTTGAATTCGATCAGTGAATGAGTATCAAAAGTTGAAGTTTGTTTCTAGTTCTGGTGTTGATTATTTGTGTTGGAACATTATTAACTTTTTCTCAACAGTTTTATCTTAGAAGTTGTGTTGCACATTCAATCATGTTATCTACAACGCCTAAAGGTTGTATTTCAAATGTTCTCTTACTACAAAATTAGTATGCACCCTGCTCGGAATAGAAGTATAAAAGAATAATTTATTATGGTTAAGATGCGAGAATGTAATATTAAAAATAATTCTATAAAAATAAATATCGTGACAATATTAAAGTTAGTTTTATAAATTAAATATTGTGTGCTGACGTTTGTTTTTGTCAATGCGACCAACGAAGCGACAGTTTGTTATTTATATTATGATTAATGTATCAATAGATTTTTAGTGTTAAAATAACAAAAATGGCGGAGGATAGTTTGTATAGACGATGAATTAGTGATGTCCGATGATTTAAATTTCATGGATTGTGCACCGGTGATTTAATTCATGGATTGAACCACTCTTGGGCTTGTTTTACACACCATCCTTTTGAAAGCTGGGGAAAAGCAAGATATTCAAGTACAGTGTATCGAGAACTGAAAAAATAATGGAGAGCTTGAGAGCTTAATGATGTGAAGATCGGTATAGGGGGAAATCTATCTAAAATTCGATGATCTTTGAGGCCTCCAGAACCCTCTATTTATATAAAGAGAGATCTTTAAAATATAATATCGCATGACAGCTTTTGAGAGGCTAAAGACATACATGGCGACAAGTGTTCTAACAATTTGCCCTACTTGGGCAAATGGCTTATCCTATTGGGAGGTGAGAATTGGTTTTGGGTGGCAACTCCTTTCTCATTAGCTCCGGCTTACAAAAAAACATGGGTCTTCATAGCATTTCTAATTCGGACGAGCGCGACTAGTTAACAGTGTTTGCTGTTGGATTGTGAGCATTGGAGATGAGACTATAGGAAGATAAAACGATGGTTAGGCCTCGATTGACATATAATATGATATAAGATTGTATCTATATGATGATCCAATTTCTACAATTGTGGAAAGTACTTATCCAATGTTCAATAATGCAACTGATGATCCAAGTTATTTGAAGGATAAAACTATACTAGTGCTTACATTGGAGGTAGTTGAGTCTATCAATCAATATATATCGAAGATGAATTCTGCTTAAGGTCGCACGTATTTGAGCTCTAACAGTAAGTCTAAGTCAGATTTTGACAAGTGTTCGAGAACACCGAATCATAAGTTGCATTTGAAAACAGAAAATCCGGTCATGTTATGGAATATCGACCATTCTCATAGACTGTGTAATGGGACACGGTTGATTATGACTAAACTCTCCACTCATGTGCCCGAATGCAAGATATTGACAGGAGATCACGCTGGCGAGAAAGTGTTGATTCCTAGAATGAATATAACTTCTTTCGATCTTAGGGTTCCATTTAAGTTCTAGCGACAGTAGTTCATATCTATAGTTTCGTATGTCCTGACCATAAACAAAGAGTTAGAGCCAGTCTTTATCGCACGTTGGCCTATTATTGAAAAAAAAAATTAGTCACAACCAATTATATGTTTTTGTTTCGCATGTAACTAATAGAAATAAATTGAAAATATTAGTTTGCCGGAACGACGAGTTGCACAATAATCAAATTAATAATGTTGTGTACAATGATTTTTTAATAATATATAATTTTTTTTTTCTGATGAATTTTTCTGATGAATGATTGAATAATATACTCTCTTATTTATCAATATGCTTTAATTTATGACATTTCCTAAATAAAAACAGTATACATTGCAATTTGCAAGTAATAATGAAAACTAGATATGACAATAATGTGAACCCGTTGTGCACAGTGTCATCTGATACAATCATGTGCACCCTTTTCTAAACTATGAGTGTTACAAATTTCATGTCACACTAATAAATAAAATATATACATTACACTATATATCACCAAAGGTCGCGACAAATATACTTATCTGGAAAGCCAAACACTCTTTTTCATGTCTTTTTGCTTTTTAAAACCTTTATCACCTCCTAAGGAAAAAAAAATATATAGAAAAAAAAAATAAAATTGACTAGCTGATCAAAACGGTACAAAGCGGTCTCAATTTAAGCTGTTCTTTTAGAGAGAAAAAAAATAAAAAAATAAAAAAAAAATCAATAAGTAGCCGCAAATCATGGCAGTAAACGAAAGAAATTCAACTTGAAACTAAAAATTTTGATTATGGCGAATATTCATTACTATTATTATTATTATTGTTATTCTCACATACATTAATATATATACCGATCAAGAATACAGTAAACTAAAAACCCAAGTGGTAAAACAGTAAAAAAGCCTAAAGAAAAGCAAATAAATTGATGATCACACACAAAACAAAACAAACAATTTGCTCACATCACGAACAAGTACAACATCACAAGCCAATAACCCAACAAACAAGAAAAAACTTCAACCTTCACGCTCAAAACCGCAGAAGATCCAGCCTCTAATGGGCCGGTTGGTGGGAATGCGGCCTTATCGGGCCCCACTGTGGTGATAGTGTCCGGGTTCGGGCTGCGAGTGGACGGGATGGTCGGGCTGGCCGGGCCGCCCTGCGTGGGCAGAAGGGGAGCAATCTCCGGCGACAGCTCAGTGTACGGAAAATCGGGCAGCAAAGCCGGTGAAGCAGAAATAGAGGCGATTTTTGTTTCCATGGAGAGTTGGTTACTAGGATTTGGGTTTGATATTAGGAGGATTGCAATTGCAAGGAAATGGAAATTGTATAACATTGTAAAGTTATGTGGTGTTGATGATGAGTTGTGGAGTGATTGTTATTATTATTATTATGTAGTGAGTGGGTAAAGTCTTTTGGTTTATGATTGAGTGGGAAAAAGTAAGAAGATTAAATCAATATGGGGTAAAGTGTATAAAGTGGGATTTGTTTGTTGATCATTGCTTTGTGATGAGAATATAAATATGGTGGCAGCAAAATGTGAAGGTGGTGGTGGTGGTCATGTGGGGGTTATGAGACAAAGTTTGTTTTATCACGTAGTTGTTTACAGTCTTTTGAGTTAATTATATGACTATTATTAAGGTTATGCTTGGAAAAAAAATGCAAATTTATTAGTTCATTATATATTGGTTTTTGTTTTTGTCTATTGACCGTTTAGGATTACAATTTAGTATAATAATTTTTATTTTTGGCCAGTTTCGTTCAAGAAAAAGCAGTTGGAATTTCAAATTGAAATTACAAACAAAAAAACTTGAAATAAATCCAAAGGTTTGTAAGAAGGGATACGATGAATAATATAAACGGTTATATATTCACTAATTTTGGATAAGGGGTTCGCCGGTTGAAGCTGAAGGCGCGGTATCGATAACCTAAAATTTCAATGTTAGATTCTGATGTAGCACTTAAATAGCTCGGTAGGTAGGCTTGAGCAGACAGTTTGAGTAGGCCGGTCCAATAGATCTCTAGCTTGTCCATAAGTAAGTCAGTTGCCACTACTCCTTTTGTATTGTGGTCGGGGCGCAAGCCCAGTCTAGTACACATTTGAATATGGGGTAGTCCAACACACATGCTACGGCAAGACACTGACAAATTGGATACGCGTACGAAAGTACGACTGTTTGTAGGCTACCCAATAGAAACAAAAGGAGGTTGTCCCGATGATCAGAAGGTGATCGTTAGCACGAACACTAGATTCTTAGAAGAAGACTATATTATGAAAAGTAGACTTGCTTTGGAAGAACTATTGGGATAGAATGTTAGTCCCTTACCGAGTGCGCAAGTAGATACACCCACCCTACTGCAACATGCAACACTGATCATGTACCTGTGCAGACAATACCTCGTCAAAGTGGGAGTGTTGTTAGGCAGCCCGATCGGTTTATGTTCCTTATGATTCGGCAGTTGGAAGCCTCATATATGCAATGTTGTGTACATGGCCTAATAATAGCTACGTCGTTGGCTTAGTAGCTAGATATCAAAGTAATCCAGGCCCGGGATATTGGTCTACTGTGAAGCATATACTTAAGTACCTAAGAAAGACAAAGGAGTACATGTTAGTTTACCGTGTAGACAACTTGCTACCACTGGGTTACACTGATTCCGACTTCCAGTCTGACCGGGACAAAAGTAAATCTACCTCAAGGTATATGTATGCTGGGAGATGGAGCTATTTCATGGAGGAGTGTCAAACAGAAATGTGTGGCAGACTCCACCATGCAAGCCGAATATGTCACAACTTGTGAGGTAGCGAAAGGGGCAGTGTAATACCCCACTTTGATTTTAAAGAAATTTCGGACTTTCAAAAATCAGAGAAAATTTTTCAAAATTTATTTCAAACATTTGTGGCGCTACTCATTTATTTCAAAACCAATGCCATGTCATAACATCAATTTCATAACATAAATCATCTAACTCCCAAAACGGGATTCATAAATCCATGAGTCATTAATTCACCCAAATCGGGTTCCCAAATTAAAATACAAGTTTGCAAGACATAACAATGTCAATGAGGTATCTCCCCAATAGTGTCTCAACACTTCATAAAATCTCAAAGTTCGAAAATTCATCAATCATAAATATTCATAAGTATAGCGGAAGAAAAATCAATTAATACCGGTCTCATAGTCCGACTACCACTCGCTCTACTCCGATGTCGTGCCCGCTTTGCTTAACCTGAAACGTTAATTTTAGGTGGGGATGAGCACAATTGGAAATCGTAGTGCTCAACACTATGCAATAAACATTTTCATAACACAAACAGTAAAAGAAATAGTATGATCACAACATGTATAAGAATCAATTAAGTATCCCAAGTTTTCAACATAAATTCACAGTGTTCAGACTCATGTGCACATCTATACCAATAGACTACTGTTGGTAGATGTATCGAAGGCCCTCACTCGGGTCATGCTTCAAATGCCCCATGGGGCTCTATATCTATGCCCTCCGGTCTTACACACCGAATGCCCCTCGGGCTTCTATCGATGCCCAGTCAGTAGGAGTAACCCCTCGGGTTTATTTTCATAAATACGGGGACAACCATTCGACGACCGGTACAGCTTACATCAAAGGCTACATGATTCGTAAGCACACATTGATCATACACACGTAAGACACAATTTATTGCATAGACAATTTTTAATAAAACCCACCTGGTCGAAAGTAAGAGATAACACAATGCACGTGTAGGCGGCGAGCCCGACTCGCCAAGCACCTACATATATTAAAGTAATCCTATAAATAACTATTCCACACATGGATACACTCATTTCGATATTCATGTGATCAGACTCAACTCATACAGTTCATATAAACAAGCACTAAAAAGATATATTTGATTTTCGAAAACAACACATAAATTTCCAAAATATAACCCGCGCAGCGCTTTTGAAATCGACACCATTTGCAACACATAATTATTATTGACATGAATCCAATTGCATATGAACCCTAATACATGCCTCTATAATACTTATGAAGACATCAGAAGCAAATAATGGCATTTAGCAGATTGTAAATCATCAAACATATGAAACAGGGATGCTGTGAAAAACCTGGAAACATGTAGTGGACAGAACCTCAGTATTGTCAAGATAAATGAAGCTACAGACATGATTTTAAGAAGATTCTAAAACAAAGATGCATCTAACTCAAATATCTACAACTTTGCTGAAGACCATTTTGACAAATAATGATTTTATCCATGAGTTTAAACCTAAAACCTTCGGTTCATAAAATCTGCCAGACACCAACTTATTTTTATAAACAACACCTCAGTATATAGACTCTAACTCATGCTAGAAACCTTCAATTGACATGAATCAAAAACCTACGGACAGCCAAGAAGCAAGGCTACAATTTTTATGATGATTACTTTGGCAAATAATAACATTAGCATTGAGTTTAAACATCAAACATTCAATATATATAATCTGCCATTTCAACTCATGTACTAATAATAACATGAATGTATACTATTTACATGCGAGACTTCAAACAATTTTATAAAATCATATACTCGACATATTAAGCTGAAACTTGGTCAAATTTTTCATCAATCATCGAAGAATTTTACATAAAAGATTCGCATTAAAAACTCGAACATGGACTGAGTACTCTTGCATATAAAATCATCTAGACATATGTCCAGTCTAAACATTTTAACTCATTCGTTTCTCCATCTAAAATCATGAAATTTGACAGACATGCTCTCAACACATATAGAGTTCTCATAAAAATTTCATATTAATATCATTTTCCTAGGCCGAGATAAACAAGTTCAAAGTCACAGCTAGAAAAATGCATTTAAGTTCAGTTTGCATGCTTTACTTCATAAGCTTGTATCTCATGATATACTCAACCAATTAACATGAAAATTCATATATGAACTCAGTACACAATACATCAAATAACCCTTAGGAACTCAATATAACAGGTTGTTCATAGCTTGGTCAAATTCTAAATGAAACATCACATAACAAGCTTGCATGCGAAATGGAAATACCTTTAACTTCTAGCATGGATATATCCTCATATAAACTGAAACTTAGCCACACTTTAACATACATAATAACACCTTAAATAAGCTATTAGCATGAACCAAGGGTAGACTCTTACCTTCTTCAAATGAAACACAAAGGAAGAGGGTGACTCGGGTGAATGGTGTGGCTTTCCTATGCTCTCGGCTTTGCTTCTTTCTTCTAAGTGTTTGGAGAGGACTTTTAATAAGTCTTAGGAAGGTGGAATGCTTGTGTTCTCTGGTACTTTTAATAATATCCATGCTCACCGTACAGTAGGACTCCGTGGAGTCGCGAACTATCTGGTTGGCCCTCAAAATGATATCCCTGCGGACTATCTCGTACTGGTGCGGGGGGTCTCGAACTTTGCCTAGCCTGAAGAATCTGTACCCTTCGAGCCTCATCGATCAACATCTGTCTGTCCCGACGAACGGACGCATTGACACCCCGACTTCTAGTGTGTCGGGTACCAGAACCATCATAATAGTCATCGAACGCCTCGTCGTCGTCTCTGACATTAGATTGTCCAGGTCTGCTAACACCCTGAATCAGAAATATAATTATTAAATTTTTCCATATGTAATAACTATTGTAGTAATTATTAAATTAGATTATAATTCATTTTTATTTTAGTTTATAAATTTTATTATTATAATTTATAATTATTATTATAATTATTATTGTTGTAATTTATAATAATTATTATAATTAATTATAATTATTATTACAAATTATTATTATTAAATATAATTAATTCTAATTTGTAATTATTATTATAATTAATTTTAATTATAATTATTATTAAAAATTATTATTATTTCTTATAATAATTATTATTATTAGCATTTATAATTTATAATTATTAATATTATTTTTACAATTTATAATTAATTACAATTTACTCAACTTATTATTATTATAATTTTTAATTATTATTATAATTTATAATTGTTATTATAATTATTATAATTATTT